TGGACATGTTTTCGGGATACTGGAAAGTAGCAGTAGAGGAGCATTCAAAGCAATACACCGCATTCGTAGCACAAGGACATGGTTCATATGAGTTCAACGTCTTAAGTTTTTGGCTATGCAACGCTCCTGCGACTTTTCAAGAACCGGCGGACAGAATATTCTGGGACATGAAGTGGAAAGAGGTGATGACACATGCACGATATTGTTATATTTTCGAACACTCTAGAAAGCCACCTAAAGAAGTTAAGGAAAGTTTTTCAAAGACTTCGAGAAGCAAATTTAACCTTAAAACCGAGTAAATGCAAATACCTGTAGGAGGAAATTTAAATTTTGGGGTTTACTGTAAGCAGCAAGGGGATCAAGCCAGACGAGGACAAAATAAAATGCATAATTTCACTACAAGAAAATGACGAAGGCAGTGCCCACCCGGTGGCGTACGTAAGCCGGAGCCTCTCAGCAGAACAAAACTATTTTATAAGTAAGCTGGAGCTATTAGCAGCAGTATGCAGCTTGGGTTACCTACGACACCTAGTATACGAAAGGCGTATTAAGATAGTCACGGACCACCATGCAATATGCTGAAATGATAACATAAAAGAGCAATCCAGAAGACTGGCAAGATGGGCATCAAAATTGGCAAAATTTGACTACACGGTGGGGTAAAAAAAGAGTGCTAGTCATATGGACGCGGACTGCCTATCCAGATATCCAGTATTACACCTTCCGCTGGAAATAGTTCACGACACGGTAGGCGAAATCCCAACATACGCCACGGAGAGCCAAAATGTCGCCGAGTTGCAAGATAAAGAAGAGGGCATAGGACATCTGGAAGAAGCCATAGAAGACCCAGACACCACGAGTATTCCGATCGGTACAATAAAAAGATCAAAACACTTCCGACTGATTATCCGTCCTGTGTAAAGCTAATAATGCCCAGAAAGGCTTGGACAACTTACTGGTAGTTCCCAGAGAAATGGTAGAGGAAGTGATGTGGGAATTACATGCAGCCCCAACAAGCGGGCATCTAGGCCTGTCGCCTGTCAAATACGCTGCAAAAAATCCTGGAGAGATATTATTGGGAGAACATGAATAAGGATCTAGAGAAATATGTAAAAGGGTGCCAGGACTGCCCGGCTAGAAAGGGGCGTATAGAAAGCCAGCAGGACTATTACAACCCATGGAGGTCGGGAAAATATTCGAGAGAGTAGGCATAAACCTACTAGAGCCATTCAGAAGAAGCAATAAAGGGAATACAATGATCGTGGTGGTAACAGAATATGCCACGAGATTTGCTATTACAGCCGCACTCCCAAGCGGTAAGGCGGGACGCGTCGCCAAATTCTTGTTAGAAAAAGTACTCCTAATCCATGGAATGCCTAAAATGATACTCAGTGACAGAGGCAAAGTGTTCCAATCTGATTTGGTGCAAGAGCCCCTTAAAGTTATGGGGGTTAGAAGAAATTTCACCATGGCCTACCACCCGTGCTGCAATGGGCTCACGGAAAGGCTGAACAAAACCCTAGCAGATAATATGTTGTTCATGTACTGCAACACTCAACAAACCGATTGGTGCTCATACCTCCCATTCGTAACGTTCGCATACAACACTGCCGTACAGGAGACAACACCATTCATGCTAGTATATACCAGAAACCCAGTGCTACCCAGCAAAGCAGCACTGATAGACGAGGACGTCAAAACTGACGCAAATGAAATTAGGGAAAAGGCTCTGGCCATGAGAGCAACGGCAGTGGAAAACATCACAAATAAGGATGTTGGGCGCAGCGAGAAGTTACTATTAAGATGGTTTGGACCATACGAGGTAATAAAGAAAACGGGGAACGTGGAAAAGGTGGAAAATGGGAAACATAGATGCAAGAAATAAAAATACGGATATCGTTCATGTGGGGCGAATACTACCCTACAAGGACCCTTGGACAAAAGGATCACCTATAAACTCGGACGATATAGAAATAAACGGAGGAGAATAGGCAGGGTTAAAGAATCTGGAACCGGATGACCCAGAGACCCATTAACTATAGTCCACCCAGAAGAACATTTGTCCTCGAAATTCCAGATTTAACCTCACTAGAAAATCTGTCAACCCAGCAACAAAGTAGAACCGAAATGACACCACGCTGCGACTAACGATCAACTAGAAGCTTGCAACATCGACAAAAAAACGCAGCCGGCTGCAAAGTACCTATAACATCTATATGGGATATCATATATCCAAAGATAAGTAATATTATATTTTTATTAGATCATATGCTATTTTTTACGTAACTAAGTATAGCGGTAGGTCAGGTTCAGCAAAACGAACAAGTTAAGATTTATGATTTTTAATTGAAAAATATTGTTAGATATAGATAGATTTAGCAACTTAAGCAAAAGAAATAAATATTATATATTATACACAGCAGGTATAAGAAATTCACTAACACTTTGATCTTATTGTTGCATGGGCCAATCAGGATGAAACTGAAGACAAAAAAAAAACCCTGGCAGCAAGTGAGAGAAGACAGGAAGGGTCCAGAGATAGCACGATTCTCTTTACATAATTTAGGTGTATAGAAAGTAAGATATCTGTAAACGTATGATCACATTGCACTTAGCGTTGGGGACCAACGCTTTCACAGCAGGGGCATATGTCCACTAGTCTATGGATGGAAACCTTCCTGTATATCAAAAACCCCATTAATTAAAACTAGAACACGGTTTATCAACATTCAGCAGTTTAAGTAGGTCAACGCGTATACTAATGTTTACACGAAATGGATATAAAAACCGATGCAACCTATGGTATCGTCATTTATTCGGGTCTTTGTCTTCTCAGGGACTCCTTACCCTAGGATGTAGCATTAATCCCTTTTGGTTCGCATCTCTCTAATCAGAGTCCTCTTACCCAATGGAGCAGTAGCTACACGACTCTTCAGGGTCGCCTTACCCCAGAGAGTCTTGTAGCAATCCCTTTTTAGGGCATTGCCGCTATATAAGTGGGGGAACCAGTTGCACCCCCGTGTACATACATAGAGCCCCAAACGCAAGAGTCATGTGGCATACCTACGCTTGGTAATGTACCCACTAGAAAGCAATATACGAAAGTGCCTTTAGAACTTGTGTTTTTTCCTGAAGAGCAACTCCTAACCTCACGTCCTACCCACACTAGCCGCGAGGCGTGTGAGAGTATTAAGATGCAATTATTTGTCTTTATTGTATTGGTCACAAGTATTGGGGCAATTACAATTTTCCCAAAACATAAAAAACCCATTCTTGTTTTCAATATACTTCTTTCCCTCAAATTCTGGTAATGGGCTCATCCACACTTACATATATACACACCATTTTTGCTTTGAATCATTAGGGGAGTCTTGAGTTGGCTGCCGCACGAAAAGGTACTGCGCTACCAAATTGAAGTCGCGTCGAATATTTTTTAACATACGAAAATTGGAAAAATTGCTGTTGCAAAAATACGGACAATAATTAGAAATTTAACTTTATTTAATGCCGATTGCCATTCGCAAATGTGTATCAAAAGTAATATATATAGTCCACTTTTGTTGAAATTATCCGGGTTTAAGTAATTACCTAACCTACCTGGCGGTTAAATCCGGTTGAAGCTTTTACGTTTTAACACAAATAACTGCAGGCGTAGACAGGGCTATGTTATTGTACCCACTTTATTCTCTCTATTTAGATGATCCATAGTTCACCTTGTCGAGGGTCCCCTGCCGTCAGGAGTGAAAATACTGAACAGACTTGATGGCGGCTTTCAACCTAAACAGATTACGAGCCAAGACGAAAGTATCGACGACATGGATAATTTACCTTCAATATGCGTATGATAACGTCGTGATGGCCAATACAGAGGAAGACCTTCAGGCAATTATTATGCATTCAACCAGGCATACAGGAGAATCGGCCTAGAGTTCAACTTTACCAAGCTGGAGATACTAATCCACAAGCCCTAAATATAACTAGTAGACTGGACCATTCTTTGCAGAACGTATACCCATCCATGTATCAGCGAATGCAATAATTGATGCTGAAATCCAACATCGCTTGAAGTGTGCTAGCGCGGCGTTCGGGCGACAGCTAGAGGCTTCAACAATCACGACATCAGCGCTGAGACCAAACTTCGCGCCGACAATGCAGTAATGCCAACATTCATATATGGCTGCGAAACATAGATCACCTACAGGAGACATATAAAAAACCTAGAAAAATACCACCAGCGCTGGCCTAAAAAGGATCCTAAGTATTAAATGGCAAGACCGTCGAATGAACATTAATATTTCAGACGAGACCAAAACAACAACCCTCATCATTAATCACCAACTTCGATAGACAGGTCACCTCGTCTGCATGCCCGAAACACGTCTACCACGACAGATTTTCTACAGTCAACTGGAAGAGGAAAATCGAAATCAGGGAGGTCAACAAAATCGCAACAAGGATATTCCTAAGAAGAATGGTAGATTGCGGCATCGATACTAGCAATTGGGAGACGACGGTAAATGATAGGCCCTCATAGTGTCGAGTAGTCCACGAAGACCACAAACTTTTGAAGAGCAGCGACGCAAACACGAGACCGAAAAGAGGGACCGCAGGAAGGAGCGAGGGAACAAGAGGAAGAGACAATAGTGGCAGAGGCTGGGTGTGCCAAGACTGTTGAAGAGTGTGCGGCTCCAGAATTGGTTTATATAGCCATCAGAAACCGCACAATCGACGACAATAAGAATGGAATAGAAGATACTTGGTATCGAGTGATTGCCTGATGATGAGCTACAGAGTACGATTATGAGAACAAAAGCTAGCATAATTTCATAATCATTACCAAAGCAAACAAAATAGCGGCAATGTTTTTACCTATAAAGCTTATTTACATAAATTAGTGTAAATAAAAAAAGCCGTGTAAACTTTAAAAGCCGATATTTATTACCAAATAATGCACTTAAGTGAAGGGATATGTGTCAGACTATCTAGTAATCATATTGCGAGTGACTAGTAAAGATTATAAAATTCCCCAATTCACAGGATAAAAATAAGTCGATAATATTAGTTTAAACTGTAACAACTGATAGATTGATCGATACGTATATCAGCGCTTATGTAAACTTTGATAGCAAAACACTTTCCGAAATAGATTTTCAATAATAATAATCGCTATTGAAGCTTGTAACAAGGATTCGTCATTCTGATATGAGATAGCTTTCGAAAATACGAAACAATGATATAAGTTAGTTATTAGTGAACCGTTCCATTAGTTTGGAAAAGACTTCATAAAACATAATTTGGGTGAGTCCTGTTTGTTAATATTTTTTAATCGAAATTACATTGGCATTTAGCTATCTCACAACTCTCGACTTGTGTATCATTTAATGTGATTTGTTATTTTATTCCTCAGTTTTTTTTTCCAGAAGTTTTTTGCACCACCAGACTTTACGAATTTGATTGAAAAAATGATCTCATTCAAATTTGTTCTATTACTAAAAAAAATGTCTGGAAAAAAACATGCCACAAAGTTTTTCGCAGTTATTTTTTATGTGGGCATGAAAATTGGAAAAATATATTTACAGGCCCTTTTTTCCAAATACATGAATTGTATTGAAAAACTCCTAAACTCGTTTTACTAATCGTTTAAAGCTTTCTTATTTGGCAAATGGAAAAGTGTAGTGGGTGTTTACCCTTTCCAAGATAAGATCCTACGTTGCTAATTTCACATACGTTTATCCATATCTATAAATCAATTTTTTGAATTGTAAGTTTGTAAATTTTGCTGCCAATCGTGCTACTTTATAATTAATTCAAATAATTATTCAAAAATATATTTTTTAAATAAAAAGAGCTTTTTCAATGATAATTTAACCTTTACTCTTATCAAATAGTTTAAATCTAATCAAATATTATTTCTTAACACTAAATCTGCTTACCTATTATTATCAAGACAAAAAATGTAAGATACGATGAATCCCTAAATAAATCACTTATAATAAAACTTACAAATTAAGTAGATACCTACCCATCTAGTAAAAAATAAAACTATTTGATTATTATGCTGATAGTTTGAAAAGCTAACTGATAAATACATTTAATTAATGGTACTTTTTATCATTTTAGGAGATTCTACGAATATTTAAAATGACTGGATCATGGAAAGACAACTTCAAAACATCAAATTTTTGGCCGACTCATTTTAATCCAGAATTGTTTATAATGTCCCAGGTAAGATATCGCGAGATTGAAAAGCATATTTTTGTACGTAAAGTGGAACTTTCACAATAACTAGCTACTTTTTCGCTATATATTTTACCCACATTTACATACCGCAAACGTATCTATATTAAAAATCAAGAAAGATTTTGCTAGCGTTATGATTTGTCTGCTTATCTTCTCAGCCAAAGTTATTGCGGTTTTAACATCCATCCAAACCTACATACATTTAGTTTTACCATTATTTCCTTTACTGCTTCCCATAATGCTATATGTTTTCTCCATTTTCTATGCAATAATTGAGACTCCTTCCTTTGCTCCTGATTCTTTTTGAACCCTGCGTAAAATTTAGAATATTATGAAGAGTGTCTTAACAAGAACTACTTAGATTTTTTTTTTCTAGGGAATTACTACCCTATTATGGCTTCACCGTCTGGGGTATCTAGCTAAAACTAATTGTGGTTGAAGGAGATTTCCGGTTCGTCCCGCTCCCTCACAGTCCTGTAGTGAATTCTAATATATAGCTTTCAGAATCTTTAGTTTATTTTGTCTTAGGTTCTCCTGCTTATTCTTTTATCCAAGGTTTTACTCAGTATCTTCTCAATTCTTCTCAGTTTTCTCAAATTCTACTACGATTTGTTTTCTAGCAGAGGTATTAGTTAACAGATAGCACATTTTTTAGACGTCCAATATTAGTTTCTTTGTTTTCAGTTGGGGATTGAATAGAATTGAGTCAAGTGAGATTGGCGTTTGCAAATTATTAGCAACAAGAATATCATATAGGTTAGGTTGTAGATTACGGCATTCAAATAACTCATGTACTAGAGTGTCCTCCTCCCCACACTCACATGCTGAGCTGTCCTTGATACCCAGTCTGTTTAAGTGTTGAACAGTTAGACAGTGTCCAGTTCTCATCCTGATTATCGTAGTTATGGGTCTTCTATTTATGTATTCCATATTAGTGAACCAAGGTTCCTTTGGGAAAGTCTGATAAACCCCCCTGTATTTTACTCCTTTTTTCCTTAGTAATTCCTTCCACATATTATTCCAAATTTCTTCATGGTGTTTCTTAATTTTAGGTATATATTCTTTTACATCCAATTGTATTGGATATTGGACCCTAAGCTTTCTACCTATATTAGCCAATTGGTCTGCTATCCTGTTGCCTCTGATGTTTGAGTGTCCTGGGATCCAGAGTATTTTCATGTCAGACCAATTTCATTTGCTTCCATTATTGGTTTTTTAGTTATTGTTATTATGTGATCTAGATTTTAAGAATGTGTACAATCCAATGCTTTCACCGCACTTTGCGAGTCTGTTAAAATTAAGCTCCTTTTTATGTTTTCCTCCAAACACAGCCACAGCTTTGTGTATTGCTACTGTTTCCGCTGTGCAGATCTGAGTAAAATTGGGTATTCTTGACGAAAATGCGTAATCTGCCTGTGAGCAGTAAATACCAAATCCTGCTTCATTTGTGCTTTTTTCCACGCTTGCATCTGTGTAAAACTGATTATAACGGTTAAACTTCTCATCTATTATTTCCGCAAATTTTCCTCTAATATCTATATCCTGTTTTTTGATGTCCGTTCTACAGGTTGGTATTTTCCTCATTTGGTATTTATATTCAAATTCAAACCTGGGGTGTATTCATTAATTTTTATTTTCTCTTCCAGTTTTTCCAGTTCCTCATATTCCTGTACCAGGTATGGGACTTCTCTGTAAGCAAAATAACCTCCATTTCTATCCAGCTCCCTAAACTCCTTGATTAACAATATAATAGGGTTGTTCCTTATTTTCATGTTTTTCAGTAGAAATGGTTGCCATTTTCTTCTTACCTTGAGGGATTGCTCACTTGCTTCTGTTAGTGCTAAATTTGTTGGTGTTGATCTCATGCAACCCAGAATTATCCTCAAAGCTGTATATTGGGTTGTGTCTAGTTTTTCTTTATTTTTAATTGTTGTGGTATATGAATTGGGATCCTTAATCCAAATGAGATCTTATGATAACTTTATATATTTGTAAAAGAGTGGTAGGATCACCTCCGCTCCATACTCTAGTATAACTTTTTATCACGTTCATTCCCTTGGTGGCGTTGGTTTTCATTTTATCTGTCTGCTTGGTCCAATTTAAAGTGTATTTGTATTCACTAACCCAAGGAATTTCTTCCCCATTGTACTTCACACTCATGTCTGGTAAATTCTTTTTCTAGGACTAATTCTCATGGCTACTGATTTCTGTATGGAGATTTTAAAATTTAGTTTACTGAACCATTCTGATATATTAGATAATGATTTATTCATATCTTTCATTACAGTTTCAATATCCTTACCCTCAGCTATTATTGTAAAGTCATCTGCGTATTGCAAAATTGTTATGTTCCCTTTGCTTAGTTCATGTACCTTTTTTGTGTAAACATTAAGAAAAAGAGGACTCAGAGGTGAACCCTGGGCCAGCCCAGTCGATAGTATTTCTGGCCCTGCCATTTCCCCATTATTATCGTTTATGTATGCTTCTCTATTATTGAGAAGATTTTATACTGTGTGACAAAAAAAAAACGCATCACCCCATGGAAGTATAAATATTTGTTAACCAAATTCTGTAGATATGCTTGGGCTATCAAAAGTGAAATTTAATTCAATTAAAAATACACAAATAAAGTAACATTTAATCAATAATTGTTATTTTTTACACCATTACCTAACAAAGGTAGAAAATTTGTTAAAAAATATACACTTTCAATGAGTGATGCGTTTTTTTTGTCACACAGTATAATATAAAATTGTTTACCTCCATGGATGTATCTAGTTCTTTCAAAGCATTGTATAATTTGTGTATGTTTACTTGATCATAAGCAGCTGTTATATCCAGAAAAACCACAAGTGTATCAATTTTTTGATGAATTTTTTGTTTGAATTTTTACTGTTAGGTATGATAAACATTCTAGACATCCCCTGCCTTTCCTGAAACCAATTTGTAATTCCGGCAATTCCTTCTTATTTTCCAATTTCCATTCCCATCTGTTTTTAATAATTGTTTCAAGTATTTTCCCAGGGCAGGAGATTAATGCTAAGGGTCTGAAGTTTTTTGCAACTGCACTGTCTTCGTTGTCCTTCAACAATGGGAAAAAGTATATTCTTTCCATTGCATTAGTATCTTATTCTTTTTGAGGATATTATTGGATATTCTAAGTAGATTTTGTTTTCCTAAAGTTAGTAAATATTGGAGTATGCTCTGTTGTCCAGTCCAGCGGCCGAATCTTTTTTCCCTTGCAAAACATTTTCCAGTTCAGCCAGAGTTATTTCTTCTTCCTCTACGAATTGGTAATTTTCATGTCTTCTATCCATTGTGAAATCTGGGTCCCGCTCTGGAGCTTCATTTCTTGATTTAATTTTCCCTTTTGAGAATATTCTTATTGTTTTCCAAATTTTCTGTAATGGTGTATTTCTATGTATATTTCCTTAATATTCCTCGAAACTGTTCTTTTTCTTTTTTTTTGAATTTCCTTTTTGTCTGAGCACTGACCCGCGCGGCCTCTTTACTTGGATAAAATTCCCCATTGAATATCCATATTTGAGTTTATTCATAGCAGTTTTCTTTTTATTTAAAAACTCCTGACATTTTTCATCCCACCATGGGACTGAAGCTTTATGCTTTCTTTGTTCAGCTTTTTTCCCGGATTTGTTTTTCCAGCAACTTCTAGTATATCTTCTTACAGATCAGAATATGATCCTCCGATTTTGCCCACATGGTTCTTAAAATAGGCTTAAATTTTTCCTCACCTATATGCTATTTTTTATGACAAAAGGTATAATTTGATGTGTAAATTATATTTTCTTACCTATTCTCTCTATAGTATTTATTAATTTAACATATGGGGTAACAGGAGGGGTACACAGGATTAATTAGTATTTTCACGGTAAATGAAAAATTTCAGTATTCGCACGTGCGGTTTAAACAAGAGCTCGGTCGAATCAACTAGAGTTTTAAATCGTGCTCCATTTCTGTCTGTCAAGCATCAAGTCGGATATATTGGACACGTGTTCGGTGAAAACATTTACTAAAATACCGCGTTACACTCTTGAGGAACGTTTATTAATTGTAAAAACTCATCACAGAACTGGAGAAAATTTTACAGTGACAATGCGCAGATTACGTAAACATTTCGGCGTACATAATCGTCCGTCGCGGCCCATTGTTGAGATTTAAATCAACAAATTTGAGCGGACATTTCCACTGAATGACGAGACAAGTGTTAGGCGTCGTCGTCTTGGAAGTTCTCTCGGCAGTAACATCGCCGCCGTTAGAGCCAGTGTTACCGAACATCCAAGCACTTCCATACGGCATGGCGGCCAGGAATTAAACATCACTCGCCACAACAAATTTTTTGAAACAGGATTTGCTTCTTCATGCCTACAAAATAGAGTTGATACAGGAGCTGAAGCCAGCCGATCATAGAGAGCGCAGAAACTTTGCCAACTGGAACAAGTTGACGGTGCATTCTAGAATAACATAATCTTTAGCGATGAGGCGCACTTGGCTTCAGGTCTTGTGTAAAGTGTATTTTGTAGGCATGAAGATACAAATCCTTCTTCAGAATTTGTTGTAGCGTTGTGGTAGCGTACTGCGACTGATGTTCAATTTCTGGTCGCACTGCCGTATGGAAGTGCTCGGATTTTTGGTAACACTGACGACGACGCAACACTTGTCTCGTCTTTCAGTGCGAACGTCCGCTCAAATTTGTTGATCAAATTTTCAACAATGCGGGCCGCGACGGACGATTATGTACGCAAAAATGTTCACGTCATCTGCTCATTGTCACTGAAAAATTTTCTCCATTTCTGCAATGAGTTTCTACAATTAATAAACGTTCCTCAAGAGTATAGGTAAGGGTAGGTTTCTATACATCCGTCATCCGATGATACGACAATGGTTGAATTCAAACTTATTATTCGTCAGAAAATCAAACAATTCCTGATGTCTGGCGTTTTCATGCATCTGATATCCGATAATAGGAATCTTTTACGATTGGTCAAATATATTTGACAGCTCAGGTCATCGAAATATTTTTCTTTGTCCGTGAGCCTCATTTCAATCAACAAATTATTATAGGCACATTGTTGATGGCGGTTGCTTTAGATATCTCGTATCCAAAACCTTTCAGGTCGCTTATGCTTTCCTTACTATTAGTAAAAGTTCTCAATCTTTCCCATTGAAGCTGTTAGACGTGGTAGTACTGCTTTTTCGTGGGCGATTAATAGGTAATGCTTATTGAACAAACTCAAAAACTGTGGAAATAACAAATTAACACAAACAAGTCAAATGCCAAATGCGAAACGAAATAATGCCAACAAAACATGAAAAAGTGAAGTTAGAACTATAAATACGTCAAAAATGTCAAATCATACGATGTCATATAAAAAGTTAAAATTATTTTAACTTCATCCGGGGAAAAGTTTAAAACATTTGGATGAAAAATGGCCGGTAACTGATCATCCAATAAGAGCTTCGTCCTATCATCGTGCCATCGTACCACGGATGTATGAAAACTTACCCTAACGCGGCATTATAGTAAATGTCAAATTCTCACCGAACACATGCCAAATATGGCCGACTTGACGCTTGACAGACAAAAATGGCGCATTATTTAAAATTCAAGTTCTTGTTGAGACGCCCTTTACAACCGTGTGATGGTAGTATTGGCGACTAGCCTAATACGTTTTGTTATTGTTTCATTAAAAATATTTGTATATTAATTTCAATTTTATTCTAGTGGCAGTCAGATAAGGAAACGCCCAGTTTAATTTACCTCTGCGTCAGATTAGCGGTTTTCGTAAGCTTCTTTGTCATATGGATATTAACGTATACCATGGAACCATCTGCTGGCAAACCAAGATGGCCTGTGTTTCTAACCAATTGGGGAATGACTCTCAACGTGCTACAGTCATTTCTGTCTTGTCTTATGCTAACTTGTGCTATAATTGGTACAAAGGTGCTCGACAATGACGCATTGAAAGAAAGCGTTTTGAAATGCTACAAAACATATTGGGTTCTCAATGTTATGGCTACCAGTGTTGCTTTTACTATTACATTTATTTATTGGACTCTTATCTATAAACGTGAGTAATTTTTTTTATTAGTAAATAAACTATTTATTATTCATCTAATATTTTAGAAACTGGTTCGTATTGGAGTACCATGAATTTTATGGTGCATGGATTCAACTCAGTACTCATGTTTGTTGATTTTTGTCTGGTAGCCCATCCAGTACGCTTCTTGCATTTGATCTATCCTATCGCAATAACATTTGCTTATACTATTATGACTGCCATTTTCTATGTATGTGGAGGAACCATGAGGTGAAGTCTCATTTATTATTTTGAAAAATGTATCAATATTTTCATTGTTTTCAGGGACGGATCTAGATATATCTACCCGATTCTAAAATGGGATCAACCCGTCCCAACAATTGGTTACTGCGCAGCTGTGCTGATTCTTTTGACAATTATGCATATCACTACCTTTTTCTTGTACAAACTTAAAACAGTAATTGGCAATTGTATATTTGGAGAAGACTCGATGATACCTGACGGTTTTGAGGAACAATCAACAAAAATGATGGTAGTTTAAAAAAAAAACTAACTTACTTTTGATGGGGCAATTTATCAACAATCCCAATATCACCAAAATAGAATGTGCCTGTTCGACACAGCAATAAAAGACTGATCAGAAAATAAGAGAAATAATCTAGTGTATTGACAATCTGTCGTTTATGCTAGTTTTCTATTTACAATATCTAATTAATAAATTGTTTTATGATAATTTATAGATTTCATTTGTCTTGCCTACTATGTAATACATTTAGAATAAATACATAGTATATGGCCGGTTGTTCTAAAATTATGATAATGTCCATTCTCTTTAGGCTTCTTTTGAATTTTGGTTTTTTCTTTAAATCGCTTGAACACATCCTTAGTTACAGGTACAGCGCAACTACAGACTTTTTTTGCCTTTTTGGATCGATGACTTGTTGATTGAATTTATTCATTAGTTATTATACCTTTCTTCTGGTCATTACAAATATTGGCAACATTAACTTCTTCATTTTTCCTAACAGCATCAGAAAAATTAGGCTCGTTGTATCAATCACTTTCTTATACTGTTTGTTCTACCAGGGCTTTCACGAAAGTCCGAATCCCCCTGTTCCAAAGAAAGCGCTTGCTGCAAGATGTGCTTCTATATTTGGATTTACATGAGTGTGTCGGCCATAACTCGAATTTTTGACGCCTCTTTTTCCTTTAACGTGGTCTTTCCATGTACTGTCTGGAGTGTTATATATTCTACTGGCCATCTTTTAGGTAAGAAAAGATGCATTTATTATTTTTATATTCGAAATATTATGTTCCCGTATCTTGGGCAATTTATTTTTATTCGATATAACTACCAAACAAATCAATAGAATGGAAATTTATCCAGACAACGAACATTGAAGAACGATGGTTTCTCACGTCGAGCTAAGTAATATTGATGAGTTCTATCTTGGCTTTTTTCTCGATGTTTGATAATGACAAAAAGGTTTGTCTGGAAATTTCACGTCGATAATAAAATACTTCATTAAATTTACTACCTATTAATAAATCCATTACTTTATTGATGATGCATACGGTTTCCACGAAAATAAAATAATGTATTGACGTACCTTTCAATAAAGGCTAATTATTTTCATGAAATTGAATTTTCCAAATTGTATTGGTTTGCCAATATCATTGAAGAGAATTATTATAGAACATTTATATTTAATTTATCATACAATTTCTATTTTCAATTCACATGCTAGCCTCAGTAATATTATATATTAAACTGTATTTTTGTATTGAGACCACAAAAATCGAAATAGGTCATCTGCGAACTGTTTTGATTTTTATTTAATTGGGCAACCATTTAATTACCACCCATACTGTACTGGGTGTTTCTTCATATATTGACACCCCAAGTCCAGCCTTTACCTTCAGGTAGAAGAAAGGTGTGAACACAAAAGTTAGTCCCAGATTCTACCTGCGTGTTAGGTAGTGACAGATTTTGGGCCCCAATTTTTGCATACAGGTTTTGAAGAAGATTGAAAAGGACATTGGTGTTGAGTAGAATAAATGGAAATTTACGAGTGGCTCCTATAGATAATATTTTTATAGAAAATTCGATATTCCTTGTTACCCTAAAATGTACTATCCATTCGCGCCACTCAAGTCATTATGTTTTTTGGGCTAGAGACATTGTACATTTTAATTTTTTCAATAAGCTTCCTTGTATTAAATTAATTAATGCTTACGTGAAAATATGGACACCTTTTAATTTCTGTTAGGGAAAATCGAATTGTTATCCCTAATATCCCTATCAGGAGCCACTTAAAAATTTCTCTTTATTCTACTCAACATCAATGTGTGAACAATTTGGCATATTAAATATCTCAGGAAAACTCACCCTGATTGCCGATTATACGTCGATCTGCTGTCATATAAATACTCTGACTCTGGAAACAGTGATAAATAAAGACATGAGAGTGATTAGGGCATGGTTTGACATCAATAACTTGGTATTGAATGCGCGTAGACAAAACAAAATTCATGGCCTTCTTAAAAAAGCAACCCATGACTTTGAGGAAAGAGGACAACACAATAGAATGTATTTCAGACTATACATTTCTGAGAATATATATTGATCGGGTTCTGAAATGGGAAAGAACACTTGAGTAAAATAACAAAGAAGTTATCATCGGTAACTGAATAACATTTCAATCAGTAAGGAAGTTTATCATGCTCTTTTTGAATCCAGCTCAAGATATTGCAATATGTTATTGTAGATCCTCATAGAACCATGTCCAACGACTTGTATGCAATTCAATCATAGTTCGACTCTGACTTTCTCTGCTTCAACGTTGCGAAAACTTAAGTCATATAAAAGTACGTTGCAATCTATTGTACTTAATAACACATTAAAACAACTAGCATTGAAGCCCTCATCCGAGCCCGCGTCATTAAGTACCAACTTCGCTGGACAGGTCACCTCGTCCGCATGCCCGAAACACGACTCCCACTACATATTCTCTACAGTCAACTGAAAGAGGGAAAACGACATCAAGGAGGTCAACAAAAGCGCTACAAAGATGTTTTTAAGAAAAATATGGCAAAGTGTCGCATCGATACCAGCAACTGGTAGACGACGGCAAATGATAGGCCTTCATGGCGTCGAGTAGTCCACGACGGACCACAAACTTTTGAAGAACAGCGACGCAAACACAAGATCGAAAAGAGGGACCGCAGGAAGGAGTGAGAGAAGAGAGGGAGAGACAATGCTGCCAGAGACTGGGAGTGCCAAGACTGTGGAAGAGTGTGCGGCTATAGAATTGGTTTATATAGCCATACAGTAAGAACAGAAGATAATCATACTCGGTATCGAGTGATCGCTTTAATGATGATGACTTAGGGCGAGTAGTATAAAACTATTTTGACAGATAACTAAAAGTTAACTTTTGTAATTACTATGAGAAGTAACGTCATTCCAGAAGTTAACTTTAAGCTGTCCTGTCAAAATAGTTTTACATAATACTCACTCTCAATAGGTCTGTTTCCACAGAAATCACAAGCCAGTCAGAGCGTTTTTGATTGGTCCAAATCGCCAAAAACCAGTTTCCTGAATATTTTCAACCAATGAAATTCGCTCTGACTAGTTTGTGATTTCTGTGAAAACAGACCTAATAGCAGCACTACTATTGACGTCATTGATTCTGTAAAATTTTTAGGCCGCATTATAGACAACTCTCTGAAATGAAGCTCGCACGTCGATTCTTTATCCAAAAAATTAAGTTCCGCGCGTTTTGCGATAAAATCAGTTTCCAAGGAACTTAACTTGTCAACTTCTAGAACAGTCTACTTTGCCCTTTTCGAATCACATCTTCGATAGGCCCTTCCATTTCGGGGGTACATGCTGTGCGACTCAATTTGAGCGTATCTTACAAAATAGAGCTATTCGATATTCTCTAAAATCGAAGAATAGAGCCAATAATTGCCGAGATTTTTTCAAAAAATATTATGTATTAACCTTCACTATTCATATTATAATCAGTCTGCTTGAATCCGCAAACATCTATCCAGTATTTCAGAAAGGCCATTGCATAACTATCCACTTATAAATGCGGAGCATGATCTTTATTTGCCAACCCCATCCTCCGAGTTAATTGAAAGCATTCTATACAACGCAAAAAAAGCATCTCTTCCTAAATTCCTCATAGCTCTTATTATTAGAAAGGGCCTTATAAAAAATAAATGACTTTTTGCTTCTTTTAGTTTTTTGACTTTGTATACAAAAAGATATCTATAATATTATATATTTTTATTCTTAAGCGTTTGTTTACAAATTATGTATTAATTTTTTCTATATTCTTTTGATGAATTTTTGGAAAATTTGAACGAGAGGCAGTTGCTTATCCTTCTTTAGATATGTTTCTATCTGTTGTTATTGTTGATTTTTTTTTTGGTTAAATGATTATTGTTTTTTTTTTTTTTGATTTCGTTTTTACTTTCATTTTGTGATATTATATATTTTCTATTTACTCCTTCTGATTAGACCTTGTGCATGTCATATGTTGTTAGTCAACTATATTTGTTCCGTGCCTATCAAGTCGTTGTGATGCCTCCTAAAATTAAGCCTGCCGAGGAGACGGAGACTGAAAAGCTAATCAAGAAAGTGTGCGAATCTGTTGTTCAGAGATTGGAGAAAAAACTGGATAACACAATGGAAGAAATTAATAATAAATTTGGTGAGATTCATAACATTCTGAGAGCTACGAATATATCTGTTGGCAATAATTCGTTGGCAGTAAAGAAACTGGAGGAGAGAAATGAAGCTATGGATCAATATGTTAAAAGAAACTCCTTGAGAATTAATGGCCTCATTCTCTCCGAGAATGAAACTATATACGACAGCGTTGTTACATTCATAAAGAGTAGACTAAAAGTTGATTGTAGTGTCCGAGATATCGATTATGCTTTTCAAGTTGGTAATTACGAGCCAAAAAATGTTTTAGTAGGCTTTGTACAAAATCTAAAACGAAATGAGGTCTTGAATGCTAAAAAGGTACTTAAAAACTCAAAATATTCTATTTTTGAAGATCTCACCCCATATAGATATGATCTTTTGAAAGCGGCTAAGAAGAAGTATGGAAAGAATAAAGCATGGTCTACGGGTGGTAAAATCTATATCTGGAATGAAGAATTGGGAACTAAACGGATTGTGTCACAAAAAACTGATTTATAGATAGGCCACTTATTGGGACAGATGAATAGGAATCCGGATGACTAAATCGACCTGGTCGAACTAGCTAAATTATAGTGGATATTCTCACTAGCAAAAAAGGACAAAAAGTGGTATTTATTTCTGTAGGTATATGCGTCTCGAACTGTAAACTGGGCAATAATTATTTTTTTTTTATGAAGAAAACATCGCTCGCAAATATACATTATTTATTGATTATTATTATTTACTTTGGAAATTGATTGAATTGTGGAATCTAAAAATAGGATTATAATGAATTATCTTATTAAAATAAATTATTGTATGGGGCGGTCTAATAGAGATATCGAGACATTCCTAAAATTAGACATTGTTTAGGTACAAGTGTATGATAATTTTTATTTTATTTTGTTTGAATTGAAAACTAGTTATTTTGAATAGGGAGTAGGCAAAAAAGTGTTATGGCAAATTTAAATGTATCGCACTTTAATGTGAGGTCTCTTTGCACAGGCTTCGACCTTTTCGCGGAGGTTGTTACTGGTAATTCTTTGGATGTTGTGGGTTTATCTGAAACTTGGCTTTCC